CAAGTGATCCGCCCACCTTGGCCTTCCAAAGTGCTGGTATTCCAGGCCTGAGACACCATGCCTGGCAATGGTTTTCATTTTTTTTTAAAACTTTCTGTGAGATAGCGTTGAGTTACCCCCTGAAAACTTGTAGGTAGTTTATGGCCTTGAGGTGACACCCTGGCTGACCTGTAATTGCAGTCAGCCAGGATGTCTCCTCAAGGCCATGATTAAAAGTCAAGGACATTTGTGTTTATGCTGGAGTGTTAGGACATGGCTCTTCCCTCCGTGTTTCTGCAGACTCGAAAAGACACCCATCCAATACAATTGTGGGTGGGGCGGAGTGATGGATGAATTATCCTTGCTCTGTGGGACCTGAGGCTGAGATAAAGACAGTTTCTTGTTTGTCAATGGTTTATCAGTAGGTTTGTCTTAGAGCTAGGCCTTGTATCTTTCCTATTAGTAATTTTAGGATTGACTGGTGATGCCTAAAAAACATCTATCACCTGTTCTGACTCATCCAATTTGAGAGTAAATCTTAGAAATCTCAGGTTTCTTCAGGAAGTTGAGTTTAGAAATTGTTTATGAGATCAAGTTAAGGTGACTTTCCTCTACTATCAGCACTAATAATTGTCCGTAAAAAAGCAAATATGTTGTAATCATGTATCTAGGACAGGATTTTATTTTCTTGGCGATTGAGCATTTAGGAAGTGAAGATATTTTACAGCCATTCTTTTCCCCACTAAAAGATTGAAAAGGTTAAAGTACATGGTATTTGGAAATACACTTAAAAAATTAGTATTTCTCTGGGAAGAAACTAAAACTTAAGAAGAAATATGATTAAGGTTAAGCCATCGTAAAAACATATCAACATGACTAACGCAGACATGTATGCTCCAAATTGTGAACTACACACTGCAGGAAGCTTTCCTAAAAATTGTACTCTGCCAGAAAAAGAGGTCAAGGGCTAGAAACAAATACAGAATGAAGGTTCAGTAAAGGTAGAGTTTTTAACTGTGAGAAACATCTATTGGGGTCTTTCCATGTGCTAAACTCTTTATATTATTGCATTTAATCATCAGACAACTTTATGAAGGAAGTATTCTTATTTACTCCCATTTTGTAGATGAGGAAACTTTAATCTTAGATATGTCATATAATTTGTCTAATCACACGGTACAGAAATGGTGGAGCTTGGATTGGCATTCACTCACTCACAGGATATTAGAGAAGGCATGGGGGTGTTTGGAGACCATTGCTTGCTTTCTTTTTTTTTTTTTTTAAAGGTTGCTATCCTCTTTAAAAATTTTTTTGTACCAGATCTAGTGAACCTCATATGGCAGTTCTTATATTTTATTTTTATTTAGTAACGCTTTCTCTCTTTAAGCCACATCATAGACTCTTAGGACAGTGACCTTGAAAGAGACTGGCTTGACTCTAGCCTATCCTTTGAGAGACAAAAATGATAAATCTTTTCACTTGTTTAGGGATAGTTATTTTTCCTCATCTTGGATATCTGGAAAGGCCTCCACTAAAAGCAAAACTATTCTTTAATAGAATTCATTATGTAAAATCTAAAACCTTGCTGATATAAACCTCTTTGCTAGTCTAAGGGACAATTAGAGAATTACTAATTATGACTTAATTCTAATATTTTATTATTCACTCACGCCACCCTGGGAGGTTCATTCAGTAGTTGTTTATGGAGTATTGTGTGCCAGGCATTATACTTCCTTATGCTGAGTCTAATTTTGGAAGTCGTTAAGAATAACAACATGAGACAAACCCTGCCCTATCCTGGATAGCATAGAGGCATATTTTAATATTTATTTTTAATAATGATGATGATTTGCCATTTACTGTGTATTATTTAATCTTCACTCTGAGGAGTCAACTCTTTGAGGTGGTGTTATCATCTCCATTTTGCAGACGAGGAACTTAAAGCTCAGTAACACTGAGAAACACAGCCCAGGTTACAAGGCCAGGCAGGCCTTTACCGTGTGAGCTCCTAAAGAGAGTCAAAACAGTTTTCCTATAGCATTTTATAGTTATCGAAATGCTTTTACTTGCATTATCTCATTTCATTTTTCAAAAATGTTAGTAGTTATTATAATGCTTGTTGTATAGCTAGCACTTGCATTTGTTAAATACTTAATATGTGCTAAGAGTGCCAGGTACCATGTCAGATATAGCCTAGTTCATGTAATGCTCACAAAAATCCTAGTAAGTATCATTACTTATTTTATAGATGAGCCACTGAGGCCTAAAAGTTTAAGTGATTTGCTCAGCACAGCAGGGAGGTGTAATTGGAGCCTAGGCTTTTCTGCACAGCTAGGATGTATGACCACTTTGCTATATTCACTTTTCTGTGTTATGCTGCCTCATTTTCCAAATGAGGAAACTGAGAGTCAGAGTTAGCTAACCCAAATGAGGTCATACAGCTTATCAGTAGCAGAGCTGGCACTCCAACTCAGATCCTCTCACTAGAAAGCCCACTTGTTTCCCACTGTACTGAGTCGCCTTTCTGCACAAGGAGAACTGTAAGACTGTATCATACATTCAAGTTGAGTACCCTAATTCCACTTATGCATTTTTTTTACATTTCTTTGTATTTGTTCTCATTTTTAGGCAGAGAGCCCTAGGCAGATGACTTGTTGTGGGAGAGGAATGGTGTAGGTTAAACTACTTGCTCAGGAAGTCATCTGGTGAAGTTAGATGAGAACCCAAATCCAAATTTGAGTCCTGTGTACTCAACTTATTTAGCTATGTGGTTCTCAACCTTTTTGTCTTTTGAAAATGTTGCCTGAGAGAAGGCCTTGCCCTTATGAGATTGCTTTCCTGTGCTGTAAGGAATGATTTTTTTTCCATCTGAAGATCATTTACCATTTCTCTGAATAGTGAATTACATTAATGGTGTAAGGCAAGGAAGTATGTCAATATCAGATACATAACAAGGACCAGTCACTCAGATTTGAATTGTTGCCAATCTCTACAATCTCAGCCTTGAGAATTTTAAGGCACAGAAGTCCTTTAATGATCAAGTATCATTTAGATGTCTGAAGGAAAAGTTTGTTAACCATTTATAGTACTACTCTTTTATTCCAATTGCAAACTCAGGTAAATGTTCCTTAAAATTGAATTGGATGACATTTTTCTATATATCTGTCAATGTCAGTAAACATCAGATAAATGTCCAGATGTGTTTAATTATTTTGACTCAAGGAAGTATGTCCTATTTAGACAGTCTTTAAATAAATTGTTTCTGAATTGAACAAATAAACAAGAAATAGCTGAACTAAACTGCTTTGACTGTATAGAAAAACTGAGAGGTTTTAACAGAGGAAACAGCTCAAAAACTCACATCTTGTTATACTCATTTTTACTTTTAGAGATAAACCTGAATTAACTGTTCAAGTATATTAATAGTTTTTGAAAATTAAACTTTTATTTTCAAAAAGTAGTAGGTGATGTGTGGGGATAATTTGAAACCTATTCCAAATGTATTAACTCCAGTTCAGATATGTTTGAAACATGGAACTATTCCTTTGCCACCCAGAATTTGAATTAATGCCTATTAAGTGCCTTCTATGCTAGTTTTCTCATGTAATTTTCACATTCTTGTGATTCAGGTATTATTGCTGCTCCTCCTTCCTCTCTTTTACGGATGGAAACTGAGGCTCAGAGTGACTGAATAATTAAGCCAAGGTTACACAGAAAGTAGAAGTCTCAAAACTTAAACCTAATTCTGGATATTCCAAGGTCCATGCATATTCTAAGATACCAAGCTATTCTTGTGAACAGCCTGGTCTATTAGAATGTTAAAAATTAACATAATTTAAAAATTAGAATTAAAACATTTGTTAAGAGAATTTGCTTATGATTTTGTTTGATTAGCCCTCAAGTAAGAGCAAAAGAGTTTGAAATACATACTTTTTTTGCTTTGGAAACATACAGCACATTTACCTTTTTTTTTTTTTTCTGTATGTAAGCAGAAGGTCTTTTAATAAATCTATGTGGCCTTGAGTTTGTACCTCCAAGAAACTCTTAGAGATACATCAAAAAATATTGTCAATGTTCAGTAATTAACCCTAACCAGTTGACTGCCCATTACTTTTATTATTATAGTGACTGTAGGTAACACTAGGCCAAATTCCAGACATGTGACATCTTTTAAACTGATTCTAATAGGATTAAAAATATTTTCCCGCTCTCCTGTTTTGGGCCATTTTCTTACTGTCAGACTCTTGCACTTGACATTAAAATTGGCTGGTGATGAAGCTTGTCAGTTCTTAATGGTGGTTGACTTTGAAATTAAATTTTGTCTTTTTCTTCCGGGTTATTTTCTGGTTTAGTTTTAGCCTGAGAGGAACGTAACCGATTCCCCTCCTTCCTGTTCATCTGCCCCTACATTCTCATTCCTGCCCTTACTCCCTTCAGCCCATGCTAAAAAGGGCCATTCCATTGACCTGCCTGGAGAGAAAGTGCCCTGAGATGAAATCATGGAATCGTGCACTTTAAAACCAAAAAGCGTGCCTGAAAGATAGTAAGTAGCTGGATATGTAGCAGTGAAAGGCACAGTCTGCATATTCTTTAACCAAGTTAATTGTTCAGAAAATATTCTAGCTTAAAAAAAAAGTAATCCATGTTCACTGGAGGAATTTTAGAGAATACGGAAAATAAATACAATTCCACTTTGTAAAGATAACCAAAGCAGATTGTTTTTGAAATGACTGTTAGACTTTCCAAACAGAAATATTTAGAGGAGAGAGACAAATAGTCCTTATGCATCATCCATTTTGTTGCTTTCATTGAGACTCAAAGTCTAGAAAGCTTTGTACTATTCAAGGCTGGCAAGGATGGGCTTATAAGAGATCAATAGCCATTCCTTATATATCTTACATATATAAGCCATGTTTTTCCTCTCTCTCTTTTTCTGCTTTTTCCTTTCCAAGTTTTGGGTTGCGTGTTTCTAAGTCTGCAATGGTTGCTATACTAAAGATTTTTCTTCTTCTTTTTCCCAGACCCCAGGCAGGCACAGTCTTCCCCGCCGTGGTCCTATGACCAGTCTTACCCCTCCTACCTGAGCCAGATGACGTCCCCGTCCATCCACTCTACCACTCCGCTGTCTTCCACACGGGGCACTGGGCTTCCCGCCATCACCGATGTGCCTAGGCGCATTTCAGGTAAAGACCGCGCTTTAACTAAGAATCCATTCCCGCGTAGGGGTCGGTGGGGGGAGTGGGATGGGCTGAGCCTGTCTCATCCATACTCACAGTAACTCTCTATTAGCGGCATGTGGGCAAGGGAAAGACAACTGGCAAATTAAATCTTCTGAATTATGGGGTTATCAAACACTCGAACATTTTAAGCCAAGAGACTGAAAATCCGCCAGAGATGGCAACTTGTAACATGGGCATTTAATGCCACCTAGTCAGTGTCCTACTGAATTGTATCCCATTTGGTGGGCACTGTCTCATAACTCGGGCCTTTTCCTGAGGGTCTTATGCCAGGCCTTCCTCTGCTTATGTTTCTTTCTTTTCCTAACATCTGCCTATAAACCAAATTGATGGCACAGCCCTCCGTTCCTAAAGGCTTGTACGTCCCAGGAGTCCAAGCTAGTCAATTCCAGGAAAGAGCACTTGCAAACTTAGGATCTTGGTCAGAAACTAGTCATTCGAAGTGCAGTGAGGCCTGGAAGAGTCTTAAAAGGCAATGCATGGCCTCTGAGTGGCTAACTCAAGAAGGAAACAGCCTTTCCGTGAAGCATAATGCATCCCGCTGTCACTGGCAGCCTGGCAGCCCAGTGCTCACAATCCTTTGTTCCAAAGGCACCCCAGAAGTGTGTGGCCCATGGTGGGAGTGTGTGTGATAAATGACCTGGCTGCCCCTCTATCCTGGAGAATTCATCACAGAGAGCCAGAAAGTATTCATGAAGACTACAAGCTGACAAGTAGAGAAAAGTTAAAGGCCCTTACCTGCCCATATGAGTCCCGTGCATAAGACAATAAACCTCTCAGTCCACCGTGACATATGAACTGGAAACATTGTCCCCCCTCAAAGACGTATGTCTCTGGAGGCACACACCCCATTGGATCCCACGTTTGCCAGATACTCTTCTCAGCGTTCGGGCCCCTGCATCTGTTTGACTCCTGGCCAGGTTAATGCCTTTCTTTCTTTCTCTTTGTGTTTCTGTCTCTGTTTCTCTCCCTCTCTCATTTTCCGCAAAGCTCGAAGCCGTTACTCTCTCCGCTGAGTTGCACCACTGACAAGCTGAAGCTCCGCCAGCAGGCTTGCGGGTTTTGATTAGTTCAGACTCCTTTATTTCTTTCAACTTGGGAGGAGGGAAGGCTTTGTTTCTCAAGCAAATAGCAGGAAAGGGCTCTCTGGTCCTAGTGCCTCATATTTTCTGCAGCAGATGGACTTCCAAGGGGGTGAGTAGGGAAAGAAGAGGGGCGGAGGGAGAACTGAAAGTCTTTTTGGAAAACCATGTTACCACTTTTCGTTATGACTGCTGTTACCATTTTTACGAATCACGTAGTATGTATTGGGAAGTTGTATAGTGTATAGAATTTTAGTCATTTCCCTTGCCTGGAATCACCGTCGCCTTTAGGCAAACGTTAATTAACGATACTCGAAAGGATGAGTAAGGCACAGTGGGGATAACAAAGGCTGATATGGGACTAAAGGCACAGTGTTGATGGTGTTGAGTTAGTTCTGGATATTCCTTCCTCATTTCATACTGAGAATCTGTTTTGCTTTACATAGGGCCAAAAGGACACTTTAGCAGAATAGACTCATGCAAACTTGCTTCTGTTTGGCGTCCCCTGGTGCTTCCATCCGCCCAACCCACTGTGGCCGAAGTAGATTTTGCTATTTTTTTCCTCTATCAGTACCTAGGGGGAAAAAACCTCAGGGAGTGATGGTAGCATTGGAGACACTTATCTACAGCATTTTCCTACCGAGGCGTATTCCTATGAGTTCACCAGCAAAATCACTGAAAATAACATTGGAAAAATGCGGCCTAAATGAGAAGTCAGTCATCATTGTTTATCATGTACGTGTGTAATGGAAAACAGACAGATTATTTCAAGTTCGTTTACTGAGGATTACTTAAAACATTTCCACAAAACAGTACCTTTTTCATTTCACAGACAAAGAGGCAGGAGCAGAAACTGGTTAATTTTCCAGCCATATGTCAATCTTAGGTTAAAGGTAGGAGTGAGCCTCTGCTTTAAACTGGTTTATACTGAGTTTAGTCCAGTTTTTTCCTCCTACCCCTAATGTTTCTGGAGTTGTTACTGGTAAAGTAACCTGGTGCCAGGGTGGGAGGTTCTGTATAAACAGTAAAGAGAACAGAAAATCCCTCTTGTCAGCATGTAGGTAGGGAAACAGGAAGAAACAACCAGACGTGGACTGTCAGGGAACTGGAGGAGCACTGACTCACCTGACCTTGCTCTGGGCTGCGGGACTGTTCTTGTACACCCATGCATGTCCTGGTGGACTCGGGGACCATGTCATCTGAGTGTGCACCCTTTCTAATTTCCCTCGGGACTAGTCCTGGGAGCCTTCTTGGGGAAGCCTGTCTCATAGGTTCCCAGGTACCCAGTTAGACAATTTATATCTTAGGAGTTCCCTCAACATCTAAAGCTAATGTCTAAGTCCATGACCTAGAGGCTCCTACTTGTGAGACTTAAGCATATGAGGGTTTTAAAATTTGGGTGGTTTTTTTTTTTTTTTTTTTTTTTTTTGTGCTTTAGAAAATAAACCCTTTGGATTGAGTCCATTCCTGTGCCTTTAGTCTTCATGCTGCTCTGTGCCAAATAATGCTGTTTCCACGTAACATGCACAGCTAAAATATTCACCTCTGTCCCTGTCTGCAGGCAGTCCTGTGGGCTCTTTTTGGGAGGCTTTCCAGAACAGTTTAGGTTTTCGTGTGCATTGATCAATTTTCATCTTCATGTCTAAAGAGAAACACCAAATATCCTCATGTGATTTTGGGCGAGAAAGAATAAAATTCCTCACCTCACAGTAGGATTGGATGTTCAGACCCAGGTTTGAGTCCCAGCTCATACACATATCAGGCAACTTCTTACTTCTCTGAAATTTAGTTTTATTATTTGTTGAACAGGCATACAATACTTATCTTCAGGGTTGGTGTGAGGATTAAATGAGGTAATTTATATAAAGTGCTTAGGACAGACCTGGCACATGATATGTACCAAATAGACTGTAGCTGATATTATGAAGCCAAAATTGTTTTGTAAAAATTGTATATCCATATATGATTTGCAGGCAAGCTTTGTTAAGTGAGTCAAGTTAGATTAAATAAAAATCTAAACTTTTAAAGGGGACTTTCCTTTTCAAAATGAATCACCACAGAGCATATTTAAAACAAAGCCCTTAGATTATCTAAATATTTAAATAAGTTAATACCCATATGGCATTCACAAAGCACTCAATGCAGTACCTAGCACATAGAAGCACTCAAATGTTTCCCATTATTATTATTCCATAGATTTGAAATAAATATTTATAGAGCAAAAAGCAATGGGGAACCATTCACAAAAAAGCCAATAAAGCATTAAGAGAAAATAATGATTAAATTATGTCAGACAATAGAAAGTGTTGATTTATACCTAAATTAATTAGGTATGCTAATACTGTATTCTAAGGGATCATAGGAATAAAAGCAACCAGAAAGATCCTCCAGAAAGAACTATTCCTAAAGAAATTCCATTTTCTCCTAAAAGACCGTTCCAAAGAAAGACCATGATTTAATCTACCGAAAGACCTTCCACTATTTCATCTTATTAGCATCCTTTCTTCTGAGTAATTTTCAAGCATGGCTGAAATTCTAGAAGTTAGTAAATGACAATAATCACAGTGATATATTAGATAGTCCTGTAGTTTTCCTCACACCATTTTTGGAAGCAAAGTATAAACAAAATAAGCGAAAATAAAATGATAAAGGTAGGTTGCCTATAATCCTTACTTTACTGCAGAGAAAGATATAATGCTAGATGTCTTCAAGTTCAAAGGTACAATACAATGATTCAGGAAATATTTACTTGACATTGGGTAGCCTTAAATATTATAGTGGAACAAAAGCATTTAAAGGTTTATAACTGAATGAGAAGTTATTGCCATGCAATTGACTAACAGATGTATGTTATGGTAGTAAGTTTGAATCATATTCAGTTGAATTATAAAAGTCAAGCACTACTCTCAGGAACCAGTCTAGTGATGTCACAGTGCAGAAGCCACCTTCTTCCCCACCATACTTACTTTGATAAGTATGGCCTCATTATATAATAATCTGTATTTAGGTAGCACTGCTACCCCCAAATGATTTTATACATTATCTCACTTCATCCTACATGGTTCTAAAAGATTATTCACTACACAGAGGTGGCCAGAACTATTTCTCATTAATTCTAGTGAAGGGCAAGGTGTGACAAGGCAAGGAGGGACCAGCAAGGCTTACATGACCCAAACCAATGCATGTCTTTATAATTGCAGTCTTATCACCCGTGGCAGTTTTGATCTTCAAAGCACTCGGGAGGCTTCGCACAAAGATTATAATTACATTTCTAGAAGTTGTTACAAAATATTATGTAAATAAATAATTGCTGACTTTCAAAATATATTTTATACAATTATCCTGCTATAGAAAGAAGCATAACTGTTTATGGAGGCTGATTGCTTGACTTGTGGGTCAGAGGATGAGTCTCCTAGAGAACCTGTAGAGGTTTTTTTTTCCCACTGCACAGAACTCCTCATCTATACCACTCAGTTGAGTGAAGTAGCTTAGATTAACCTACGTCTGTACTACTCCTTAGCATGTATGAAGCAGAAGGGATTTATACCTTTCTGTTGCTTTCTGGAGGTTTCTGAGAGACTTAGGGTATGTTAATGAAAGATGAACAGGTAAGATGCATCTTAGTCACAGATGTTGGCTGTCTCAGTTACTCTGGGAGAGGTCACTATAGATTTTTTTTTTTTTAAGAGACAGGGTCTCGCTCTGTTGCCCAGGGTGGGATGCAGTGGTGTGAGCATAGCTCACTGCAGCCCTGAATTCCTAAGCTTAAGCAGTTCCCCCATCTCAGCCTCCTGAGTAGCTGGGACTAAAGGCATGCACCACCTCGCCAGGCTAATATTTTTCGTAGGGACAGGATCTCGCTAT